GTTGCGACAATAAAGGTCGGACAGGCCGCGGGGAAACACGTGGTGGTGGTGGGAGTGGCATAGCGCGACCCGTGCGGCTCGTGGCCACAATTGGACCTTGTTAATCACTCTAAATAAATAAGCGACCTGCCGGAACCAGACTTTGGCCCGCTGCTGTCGGGGCGGACTTTTCGGACCCATCGGCCGGAAGTGAATGACTCGCAAACACATCACGGCCAGCGTCACGTCCCTCCGAAACTCCCCCTCCTCGATTTCTGTTATCAGCACCAAGTCCGCTAAACGTATGTACTACCGCCGAGCCTACCGCGGAGCAGTCAGCAATCTCCATCTCTCGGTTTAACCCAACTCTCTCTCCCTCCCTCTCTCCACGTCCCTCCCTAAGTTTAAGTAAGCGTTCACACTTACGCCTTTGCCTTCCCCACGCAGCAGCTCTAATGGCTCGAGTCGTGATGAGTTCCAAGGGAGCGTCCGAAAGTGCGGGGGCGTGTAAGGACCCTCAGCACCGCGCCCGACCGCGCCCACACCCTCTCACCATCCCACCCTTCCCTTCCTGCCTCACCCTCACCTTTGCATATCAGAGAGACCACAGCGACTTCCATTCAGAAAACAAACAAGAAAAAAAACCCCACAAAAATCCCTGTAATACCTTAGTGCAGTGTATACATCGTATGATGTGACATGCAAACGCGTAAAATGAGATAGGACGAAGCTCTTCGGCAGTTAAATAAAAATTGAGGCGGCAAGAACGACACTGAATGTGTTGAAGGCACGCCCACACACACACTCCCCCTATCGCGCCGGAGCGTCCCGCCGATACTCTGGGAACCCAGTAACGACTCCTTGCCCGATAGACACCGATAGGGCTTATCTGCACACACCTGCCGGGAGTGGCGGCGCGCGGTGCCCAGGTGTGGGGCGGGAGCGGGCGGGAGGGGCGCCTTTAGCACCGGGGTGCGAACAGGCCTGGTTTGCTTTCTCGCGCAGCCCACACTTCTACCACCACGACTGCTCCCCGCTTTGGGCACGTGCGCGCGGTCTGGCAGAGAGTTCCAAAAGTTATCGGCTTTTAGTAGGAAAAACGGCGTATGTACATTATTTACGCAGTACACAACGCACGCGGCGGTAAAGTTCGAAGTAAACGCGAGAATTCCGAAAATGTACTTGAGATTACCCTCGGCTTTCGGGATAGTGAAACACGAGCTGACATTAGTTTTTCATGCATTCTTCCGTGCGTGTCGACCCGGAGAGGGTCGTTAGCGTGCAACGTAAAATATAAATAAATGTGTAACCGTATTTCTCGTCTGGGCCCCGCCTTCGACATACACCTAGTCATGCGCCTTCCCCCCACGCCTTCGAGGAATTCCAAAGCCATCCCCCTGCAGCACCGAAAACATACAACGATACTGCTCTGAGAAACCAGTGAGAAACCCCTCTCCCACCAAACTTTTCCTCGTACAAATTCAACTTTCCAACAGCAACCAAACATAAATCACGTACAAAACAAAAATCGTTTTTGTTTTGAAATATCTGCTATTGGGGCGTTCCAAAAAAAACAATAACTGGTGCAGTGTGCTCCATCGTTTGGCATGGCGTGAGAAAATCCTGTCCATACTTAAATAACAACATTACCAGCTTTTGTTGTGCGCTTTTTCCCTGTGTCTCTACTCCTTCCTGTCGCAGCCGGTCCCAGCAGCGGGCCCAGCGCGTGCTCCGTGTGCGCGGGAGGACGTTCATCTTGGCTGACAAACCAGATGAGCTCCTAAATAGGGCATCGAGGGGACGGGACCCGCCGCGCCCGCGCGCTCCCTCGCCCGCCCCGCCGCCACCCGCCACACCCGCCAACGCCCGACTCACAGCTCGTCACCAGACACCACGCACATTACATCCAAAGGAAATCCTATTACAGCAGGATATCATCAATGTGGAAAAGGCGAACGGCAAACACAAACTCCAGGGCATTTACAAAAAGGCACCCCCAAAAAACATACAAGGCGGGTTTTCCCGCTAGTACATACACAGGGCCAAATGTTTTTCTTTCTTTTCAGTGCATGTGGGCATATATGCGCAGGGGACGACCTACTTAAATTCATACCGCGGCAGCACGGCGACTGTCCTTGACGCGAGATAGACCCTCTAAAACGTTACGACCCATTTGGATATTGAACGCATCCAGTCCACACCTCAACGCCCAGCAGAACGGATCCTTCCACCGCCCCCCCTACCCTTTTCCGTCCTTCCCCTACCCTTTTTCCCCTTTAAAGGCAGCTGCTAAACTCCGCTCAACAAGACAGCCAGTCACACACACACACACACACACACACACACACAAACCATATACGAGCACGCACCCAGACTGACGGAGGCTTTCAGCGATCCCTTCTTCCAGACCCTATAAGCAACACACGAAGGTGCGGGGAGTGGTGAAGGGAAAAGAAAAAGAGGGAGGGGGGGGGTAAGGGGT